CCGGTATTTTTCTTTCTCTTTCTGGCTTATCTCACTAAGCATGATCTTTTCCAGCTCCATCCAAGTTGCTGCAAAAGACATGTGTTTCTCTTCTTATGTATTTCTTAATAAACTGTTTTTGTAATTTTAAATTTATAGAGAAAATACAGAGTATTCAGTTCCCCTATATATCTATTTTCTAAATTTTATTTATATATATTTACATCATTCTTCATTTCTGTCCAGTATATGCTTTCTCCTCTCAGGTGTAGTCCCATTAAATTCCCACCACAAATTCACCCCTGCACCTCACCATAGTCCCTTGTGCTTTTCCCTCTACTGTTTTAGTCCTTCTCTCTCCCCCTCCCTTGCAGTGTGTCGATTGATAGTGGCCTGTTAATTTTGCTTATTTATTGTAATTTTTTTTCCTGATCCCTTATTTGGTTCCCCTATACTCCTCCTATAAATGAAACCATCCAATATTTTTCTTCTTCCTTCTGACTTATTTCACTCAGCATAATCCCTTCCAGCTCCATCTATGTTGCTGCAAATGGCATGAGTTTATCTTTTTTGATTACTGAGTAGTATTCCATTGTGTATATGTACATCTTCTTGATCCAGTCATCTATTTGGGGCACTTGGATTGTTTCCTTATCTTACCTATGATTAACAGCTTCAATAAGTATGGGATACAGGTGTCCTTTTGAATGAATGTTTTTGTGTTCTTTGGGTAGATACCTAGGAGTGGAATTGCTGGGTCATATGGTAGCTCCATTTTTTAGTAGTTTGAGGAACCTCCACTCAGTTTTCCATAGTGGTTGGACCAGTTTGCATTCCCACCAGCAGAGTAGGAGAGTCCCTTTTTCTCCACATTTTTTTTTTTTTAAGATTTATTTATTTGTGCATACAGAACTGGGGTGCAGGCCAGAGGCTCAGGGGTGGTGAGAGGCTTCACCAGAGACAGAGTGGGGAGCAGAACAGGCAGTTCGACGAAGTACACTGCTGAGGGGGAGCAGCAGGCGGGTCAGGAGAGGTCTGCCACCCCATGTGGTCTCCTCCGGGGCAGGCGGGAATTGAACCCCTGCGGAAGCGGCTTTAGATTCTCAGTGCTGTGCTCCAACCCGCTGCGCCACTAGGGAGGGCCCACATTTTTGCCGATGTTTGTAGTTGCTAGATTTTTTTTTTTTTTAAGATTTATTTATTTGTACATACAGACCCGGGGTACAGGCTAGAGGCTCAGGGGCGGTGAGAGGTTTCACCAGAGACAGAGTGGGGAGCAGAACAGGCAGATCGACGAAGCACACTGCTGAGGGGAGCAGCGGGTGGGTCAGGAGAGGTCTGCCACACCATATGGTCACCTCCGGGGCAGGCGGGAATCGAACTCATGAGGAAGTGGCTTTAGCTTCTCAGTGCAGTGCTTTAACCCGCTGCGCCACCAGGGAGGGCCCGTTGCTAGATTTTTTAATGTGTGTCATTCTCACTGGCATTAGGTATGGTTTTGATTTGCGTTTTCCTGATTATAAATGATATTAAACATTTTTTCATATTCCTGTTGGCCATTTGCATTTCCTCTTTGGAGAAGTGCCTTTTTAGCTCTTCTGCTAAAGAAGAGCTGGATTTTTTGACTGGATTGCTTACTTTGTTTTTGTTGAGTCTTGTGAGCTCTCTGTAGTTCTTTGTGATCAGCTCCTTACCAGTTGTATGGTGTGCAAAGATTTTTCTCCCCATCAGTAGGGTGTGTCTGTTTTGGGTAATGTCTCCTTTGCTGTACAGAAACTTTTTAGTTTGGAGTAATCCCAGCTGTTTATATCTTTTCCTTTACCTTTTTTGCTTTACGGATGAATCTTAAAGATGTTAGTGAGATATATGTCATCTAGTATTTTACCTATGTTTTCTTCTATATTATTTTATGGTTTCAGGTCTGTGTTCAATTCTTTTATCCATTTTGAGTTGATTTTTGTGCATTGTATGAGATATGGACTAGTTCATTCTTTCATGTGGTAATCCAGTTTTTCAGCACCAATTATTGAACAAACTGTCCTTGTTCCGTTGTATACTCTTTGTTCAAGAGTATTTACCAAAGACTAGTTGACTACTTATGTGTGGCTTTATTTCTGGGTCTAATACTAATATCTATACTACAATACATTTGTCAGAACCAAGAAGCCAACACTGAGGTGTTGTTAGTAAATAAGTTCCAAGTTTTCATTTGATTTCAAATTTGCTGATTTTCTTTGATCTCAAGCACTTAGAAATGGCCATACTTGCAAGGCACGTGGCAACACACCACCTGCTCGAAAAAGGGAGTTGAAACCCATGTGAAACCTGCATTGTGGAAACTTGCTGTTTCGAGGTGATCTGTAGTCAGAAACTCAGTTCCTGGGTTTGGACTGCATCTAGACTGCATGGATAACTCACGGGATTGTGCTGACTCTTAGAGGATTTCATTGCTCCATTTTAGAAACTGGAATCTGTAATAGGGACAATTCCCAACACCAGCACAGTTAAACAACCCTAAGATAGAAAAATACAATGTCAGGGTTCCAGTGGTCTTCCTTGGTGGATCAGAAGCATAATGTGCTGCTCTGGGGTTGTCTTTCCTGAGAGTTAAGGTTTTGTGAGGGGTTTTTGTGTGTGTGTGTGTGTGTGTGTGTGTGTGTGTGTGTTTTCTTTCTTTCTTTCTTTCTTTCCTGCAGGCCTTAAAAGTAAAATTGAAGGTGAAAGAAGACGAGAGGGCGCGATTCCTAGAACAGCAGACATTATGTAACAGTCAAGTAAATGATTTTACAACAGCCCTTGAAGAAATGGAGCAGTTATTAGAAATGTGATAAAAAGTAAGTGGCCAGATGGCTCCTCTTGGGGATAAACTCTCCAAGGAATCCACTCAGGACATCCGCTTCTTCTTGACCATGGTCTTCTAGGACTCACCACTCCCAGAGTGAAAACAGTTTCTTCATTAGATGGACATTTTATGCTGGGATGGCAGTTCCTCCTTGAAGCAAGTATTCCCAGCCTTCAGATTGGTCAGCTCTTCTGAACTTCACATGCAGATAACTGAGACTTACAAGAGGGGAACCTGGAAGCTTGGATCAACCTATTGGGCAACAAAGCAGCACACGATTGGAATCTGTAGACAAAACCAGCCCACAAACAGGAGCCAAAGGATCACACTTGGGTGTGCAATAAGAAAGCTTAAATTGTACAGTGACATACGGGTGCCCCATAGGAGTCCTCACTAAGGCACCACCCTGCCCCCTGCTAACTTGTAACACATTCTGTCCTGTTACGGTTGGGCTCTGCATCTCAATTCTAAATTTATGAAGTAGAAGTAACTTAATATGGCTTAATAAATGAGGTGAAGGTACAAAAAGCAATAACACCTACCTGAAACAATGTACCTTGGAGTTTTAATCACTTTTGCTTGTTTTTTCTACTTAGCACTACTTTTAAAATATTTCTGTAACTATTTGGGTTGTAATTGTTTGGGCTGGGGAATGAAAATAGCTATTTAACCTAAATCTGCCCATGAAGACTATTGAACCAAACTTGTTACAAATTTAAGACTGATTTAACCCAGAATATTTTTCTTCCACTCATTAAGTGCTCTGTGGCTAGTCCCCTTTGTCTTCCAGAAGCATTAGTCTTAGATATATTCCCTATTTAAAACAGCAGGTGCCAGACTCAGCTCAATGGTGTCATGTCACCAGCTGTTCTGAAGGTACCCCCTACTTATAGCCAGGGGTGTCAGGCTACCTACCTGTGTTCTTCCTGGATTCCTAAGCATGGCCACATACCTGCTCTTTGCACAGGCAGTCCTGGGCCTACCCCCATGAATCCATAGTCAACTGAAGTTCCTAACAGTCTTCCCCACTGTTTTACTAAAGAACTGTCATAATTAATTATTAATCAAACTAGGCAGGCTTTGACTAGCCTATTTTTGTGGCATCTCCCAATTTCTTCAACCCCTCTCCCATTTTGAGGCTGCCCAGAGCCACATAATCAAGTCAAAGAACACTCCCATCCTAACTTACAAGGCTAAAATTCTTTGCTTTCACACACAGTTCTTCATGCAGTTATATCCCAAATGTTTTGAGAGTAAAGTCCAGTTAAATGTCCCTTATGAGAAGAACTGAGTAATTTCTTCTACCCATTCTCAGGTTACTTACTATTTAAAGGATTGTTTACTGAATAGAATTTTTATCGGCATTTCTGACCTCTCCATCAGGATAAAAAAAAAGTGTTTCTTGGAAGGAGAGGGTGGAAAACTGTTTTGGGAACCTCACCTTCTTGTCAATGCTTCTCCAGTTCCTACCCTTAGGACTGTAACTGTCTCAATGCTATAGGTTACTCATCCTTCCCATTCTCACTTGCGGCCTGTCTACTGGTGGCTTTTGCCTTACGTTTGTACCTTGCAACACCAGCCTGCAGAACTTGTCTTTTCTCCTGTTCCCACTGACCTCTGTTTCTCCATCTGCCTTTTTTTTTTTTTACCTGTGGAGTTGTTCTGGGTGCTTAATCTGATCTGAAACTTGAATTCATACATTATATAAATGAAGCAATGGGCTGCCCCTTCCACTTTGTGAAATATATCACCTGTGCTATATTACAAATGTGTAATCAAGTGTCAGACACAATACCCTCTTTTACCTTGAACCCTCTGAAAAAGCCCAACCAGTATTCAGACTCAGTTCCCCAAAACTCATGTGGATATCCCCTCAAGGGTTTTTTTGCCCAGTCTTTAATAATTTATTTTCTCCCTGAGTTTCTAATGATCCCCTCCTTAGGTTTGATTAATTAGCTAAAGCAGCTCACACAACTCAGAGAAATATTTATTCACTAAATCAGGTTTATGATAAAAGAATGTAACTCAAATAGCCAGATGGAAGAGTTACATAGGGAAAGCTGTGGGGAGAGGGAAACTTTAAAACAGTATAACACTCTTAACCACAAAGATATGCACAGTCTGGTGCAACAAAATATGCAGGTGAAATACAAATTCAATAACAAAAAACAGGGCCCTCCCTGGTGGTACAGCATGTTAAAACTCAGCTCTGCGAAGCTATCCTCAGCCACTTCAGCACAAGTTCAATCCCCAGGCCAGGGAGCTGACCCACTTAGTGCAGCAGACTTCTCCTGTCTTGGCCTGCTGCCCCGTCAGCAGTGTACTTTGTCAATCTGCCTGTTCTGTGCCCCACTGTTTCTGGTGAATCCTCTCACTGCCCCTGCACTTCTGGTCTGTACCCAAGTTCTGTGTGAATAAACTTTAAAAAAAATTAGTCAATGCTTTAACAGTGGAATGTGTGATATAGTAAGTACTGTGTAATTAACGGGGCTTATGTGGTTGGGAGGCTTGATAGAGGAGATAGATTAGGCATCAAAGAAGAGTAAGATTTGAAGCACCTCGATAGAAAGTTGGACAAGTAGACAGATGGGGAGATTAGTGTGCTCAGAGAAGGTATGGAAGTTGCCAAGGTACAACTGTGAGGCAAAGGCCCCCATTAGACCAGGCCACAAGTGAGAATAGGAAGTGGGAATGGGAAAGAATGCATGGAGATGCCACGACCTCTCCCCACAGCTTCCCCGAAGCGGCTCTTCCATCTAGCTGTTATATCCTTTTATCATAAACGTGATTGAGTGAATAAAATGTTTCCCTGGGTTGTGTGAGCTGCTTTAGCTAATTAATCAAATCCAAGGAGGGTATCATTAGAAACTCAAAAAAAGTAAATCATGAAAGACTGGGCAAAATAAAGTTGAGGGTATATCCACATGAGTTTTGGTCTGAACACTGGTTGGGCTTTTTCAGAGGGCTGAAGATAAAGAGGGTATTGTGTCTGACACTTGATTACACATTTATAATACATCACAGGTGATGTTTATGGTCATTTAATCCACATTACAGGCATACAAGATGAGCACTAGTCTTCTCCCCCCCCCCTTTTTTTCTTTTTAAAGATTTATTTATGCATACAGAATTGGGGTATAGGCCAGAGGTATGGGGGGGTGAGAGGACCCACCAGAGAGACAGAGTGGGGAGCAGAACAAGCAGATGTACTGAAATACGCTGCTGAGGAGAGCAGCAGCCGGGTCAAAAGAGATCTACCACGCCATGTGGGTCACCTCAGCAGGGTATCGAACTCGTGCTACATTGGCAGTGGATAGCTTCATAGTACTGTGCTTTAACTCATTGTGCCACAAGGGAGGACCCGAGTCTCCCCTTTTATAGCTGGATTAATAGACCCGGAGACTGATTTGCCCAAGGTCAAGCAAGTACTGGAGAAAGATTTGAGCCAGGGAATAATGGGGATGGAATATACATAATTGCATGAGAAGTTTTGAAAAACTTGAACGTCAGGAATTTTGTCATCTAGACCAGAGGTTTCCAAATGTTTGTAATGTAACTAGTGTCTCAATAATATTTTATGACACGCCAAAATAAATAGTAGTTCTAAAGCTGGATACAATTTTTTTTTTAAGATTCTTATTTTATTGGGGCCTTCCTGGTGGCACAAGGGATTAAATCTCAGCACTGAAGCTATCTGCAGCCACTGCTCTTGTATGCATAAATAAAATAATCTTAAAGTAAAAAGAGTGCCTCCCTCGCGGCATGGCGTGTTAGAGTGCAGCACTATATGCTGGCTGCAGCCACCTAAGTGTAAGTTCCCGCCCTGGAGGTGACCACATGGTGTGGCAGACCTCTCCTGACCTGCCCGCTGCTCCCTCAAAAGTGTACTTTGTCCATCTGCCCGTTCTGCTCCCCATTCTGTGTCTGGTGAACCCTCTCACCACCCCTGCATATCTGGCCTACACCCCAGTTCTTGTATGCATGCATAAATATTGAAAAAAAAAAGTAAAAAGATGCTTATTTTGTGTAGAAGAACTAGGGTGTAGGCCAGAGGGCAGAGGCAATGGTGAGAGGATTCACCAGAAACAGAGTAGGAAGGACAAGCAGATCGACTGAAATAAACTGCTGAGGGAAGCAGCTGGCAAGACAGGAGAGATCCGCTGCAGAATATGTGGGTGAACTCCCTGGCCAGGTGAGTCCCAAGGTAAGTTAGGATTAAGTAGACAGCTGCAGGACAAGTTCAGGCAGGAACTTTCAAAGAGTTTAACAGGTTCTAAGATAAGGACAATAAATTCTAAAAGGTTCTAATGAAAATATAGCCCAGAGATGAGATCAGAAATTCCAGGAGGACTAAACCAACACAGTGAAAACTTGAGAAAATAAGACCTTGGACAGAGGAGGAAAGCTCTAACATACAGCTGAGAAAATGGGCACATGATTTGCCCGAAGTATGGCCACTAGGAAAAAGCCAATCACAAAATGAGATTTTAAACAGGAAAAAAAGGTTCTAAATACTCTTAGATACAAGCCCACAATGGCTTGCTTGCCTCTTCCAAATACAGCATACTTGGGAGTTCTTTTTTCTTTAAACTTTCTTAAGTGAAGTTTGTCTCTCTCTGCCTACTTATGTAAAATGTTTGTAAATTCCTTCTTATGGATTCGTGAGACTCCAGCCTGTGGTGGTCTAGTTGCTTGGACTCAGCACTGCCACTGCAGCCTGGGGTCCTTTTCTGGCTGGGAGACCAAGCCTGACAAATTACAGTATCAGATTGGAGACTCATAGTCTGGGCTCTGACAAGATTTGAGGTAAGTGAGCTGAGAGACAAGTTTTTTCTCTACTCATTTTGTCCTGTTTCTTTTATCCTTTCACTCTCTTCCAGTGCTCATTGACTTTTCTGTTAGCTTCAGATTGGCTGTAGATATTTCACAAACTTTGTCTCTGTCCTTTATTTTGCTACAAAATTAATGGGCACCCATCAGTAGCATGAGGCCACCATTCAGGGTTCTCAGCTGGCAGGGCTTCCTGATCCCCCATTCACTGGAAATGTTGGGATTCTCCTGTCACTGATTCCTTGCTTTTCTCCAACATCGGTGGACTCCAAGGGTTCTCAGGATGACCAAGCTGTAACCCTTGGAACCCTGGCTATCCAGGAGGCCCAATGATGCAAACAAGGTATTCTGCCAGGAAAGAGTCACTGAGGCCTGTCTATCTAAAACAGAACTTTTAACTTGGCTCTTCCCTGCTATAGGACAGATTTCTTTCAGCATCTATCAGGACAGCTTGTAAGTCTTAAGATAGAAAATGTTCTTACAAAAATCTTGATATATTCCTGGGAGCCTTTCACCTGGTTCTGCTCTGACCTGGCAAGTTTCATATTATGACAAAGATGTACTGGTTTGCCTCAAATCCTAGGTCCAGTTGATTACACCTTTGGTATCGTAAATTCGTCACATGACCATTTTCCAAAAGGAGTTCAAAACAAGTATTTCACATGACAATAGCCCAGCTCCTAAACCTCTGCCCAACAATTGGCAAGTCACTCAAACCCAGGTCTTGACCGGTCCACTCTTAGGACACAAGGCCCGAGAAACTACAGTATCGGAGGTGGAACTCAGGCCATAGAGGTGGTAGCACTGTGACTTAACCCCTAGGCCACCAGGGAGGCCTGAGCCAAACAAATTCTTACATCCTAACAACTCAGTAAATGTTTGAGAAAATAGCACACAGAAATCTAATGAATTTTTTTCCATTTAACTAGTTATTTATTAATGGGATATCGGGCACTTTTAAACTTCTCAAACACTGGGATAAAAATGGACACTATTGCTCTCATTTTCTGCTTTCATTTTACTGAAAGGAAAGTTGAACAATCTAGTGTTGAAAGTGACCTACCTGTAGCTAGTAGTTTACAAGTCTAATATGTCAATTTGACCATTGTGATTCCCCAAATTAAGAACATCCTCTGGCATACTTATGTGTGTGCTGCTCAAAGGTGCCTTTACCTGCAGCCTGGCAACCACAGATCCAGATAGAAACAACAGATTTTTGAGCAACCACCTTAAATGAATATTTTAGAAAAATTAACTTGGCATTGGCGTTAATAATGGATAGCAGAATTAAGAGTGTGAAACCAAGGACATCAAGAAAACCTAGGCGTCAACTATAGCAGGGCCTTTAGCAAAGGTGTAAAAGATCTGAAACACAAGAAAACATGGAGTTAATCACTCAGTCTTAGGTAAAGTTGTTGTCTGATTTGTCTCCAATATAACAGAGGTAATACCAATTTTGCTGGGCTATTTTATAGTCAGTCCTAAAACTAATCCTTGGCAAATTATGATGTTGGTGTTTATTACACTTTAAAATTTATCTTGGCAAAGGATTCCCTTCATGAATTTTGCCCTGTCTTCCAGTATAGTGCTTGTTCTTGTTTTTCTTTTGTCTTTATCTCTCCTAATGCCTTGATTTTAATAGCATGGGTTTGCAAGCTTAGGATATTCAGCTTTCCCCTCTCTGCCGAAATTCTCAATTTTGAGTTTAGGCTCTTAACCATCTTCAAAGCATTTATTCACTCCTTTCAGCTACCACCTGTCTCCTACTCACATTCGTTTTCTCAGGAAGCAATGCCACTTAATGTCTTCTTCCCCTTCCAATCTGTCTTAAAAACAGGACTTGTGGACCTCTGTGGTGGTGCAAGTGGTTAAGTCTCAGCACTATGAAGCTATCAGCAGCCACTGCAACATGAGTTCAATCTCCAGCCAGGGAACTACCAACATGGTGCAGCAGACCTCTCCTATATCGCCATCTACTCCCCTCAGCAGTGTATTTCAGTCAATCAACCTGCCTGTTCTGCCTCCCCCAACCCCACTCTATCTCTGATGAGTCCTCTTACCACCCCGTACCCCAGCCATTGTATGGATAAATAAATTAAATCTTTAAAAAAAAAAAACAAAACTTGTGGGCTCTCCCTGGTGGCACAATGGGTTAAGGCATTATGAAGCCCTCCGAAGACACTGCTGGCCAGGTAGCTGACCCACATGGCATGAAAGACCTCTTCTGACCTGCCCACTGCTCCCCTCAGCAATGTACTTTGTCAGACTGCCTGTTCTGCTTCCCACTCTGTCTCTGGTGAATCCTCTCACCCACCATACCTCTGGCCTGAACCCCAGTTCTGTAAGCATAAGTAAATAATCTTTTTTTAAAAAAAAAATTTTCTGTAAGATACTTAGAATAAGCAAATTCACAGAGACTGAAAGTAGCCTAGAGTGGTGCAAAGGATTGGGGCACAGCACTATGAGGTTGTCTTAAGACACTGCAGCACAAGTTCCATCCCTGGCCAGGGAGGTGACCCACATGGTGCAGCAGACCTCTCCTGTCTTATTTGCTGCTACCATAAGCAGTGTATTTCAGTACATCTGCCTGTTCTGCTCCTCACTCCACTCTGGTGAGTCCTCTCACCTCCCCACACCTCTGACCTGTATCCCAGTAAAGGGAAAAGTTATTGTTTAACAGTTTGTTTGACATCATGAAAAGGTTCTAGAAATGGTTAGTGAACAACAATTCACTGTGAAGGCATTTAACTGTATACTTAAAAATGGTCTCTTAGCTAATGATGTTATGTTTATCTTACTACAATTTTTAATAAAATGTAATGAGGGTTAATAAAGTATAACAATCGTAAGCATTCATGTCAATAAATTACTGTCCCTCTCCAACGATGAGCATTATTCTGACAGCAGCTGAAGACACTATAACTAGCTCTTTGTAGTTTCCTTTCTCAGTTCTTACTGTTGAGTTCCCCCAACTTCACTGGGTGGTGGTGTGGAGTCTTTCAGGAGAGATATGCTATCCCTTCAGCTGACCACTAGTCTTTGAAAACAGGATGAGGTAAGGGCCAAGACCCTGATTGGGTTCAAGAGGGAGAACTATTTGAGGTTTAGAGGAGAAACTGTTCCTTTTCACCTAGGACACCTATGATAGGGGAGGAAGGGAGGTGAAGAAAGACTTTTGATCTGGACAAGCTTACATAGTCTAGCTTTTTTACTGTGTTAGAGACTTTGGAATATTGCAAGATGGAACAAAAAGTTTTGTCACTAAATATACAATCTATTCTTCCTAACAGATGATAAAGGGATTGACGAAGTCCAAGAAACCTGGAGGAACTCCCAGAGGGACGTTATAGGACTCAGAAGCTCCATCTCTGGATGCAGGTTGCTAACCTGTTCAAGAACATTGGTCCACCACAGAGGAGGTAAGGAGCCCTAAGAGAGAAGGGATAGAGGCTGAATTCCATCAACTCTCCTCTTTCTTCTCAAATACTACTCTTTCCTAATCTCCCAACCCACCTCATTTAAAAAAACAAAAACAAAAACAAAAACTCGACTGCTGTTCTTATTGTACATTAAATAATTGGGAAGACAGCAACTCATTAACAATCCTTACCTATTAAACTCCAATAAAAATCAACAGTTCATTATCTACAAGCAATAATGTACAGAATCCCGCTGAAGCAAATTTTATGTGGCTTCCCACAAAGCGGGTTTCACTAAGTTATGATCCGTGTGTGCCCTAGAGCAAGCGCCGCTTCCCTAGTTGCTACCCCAGATTTGCTTTCACATTTCTCCCTCGAATGTGAAAGGTCGGTGAAGGGCCACAGCAGCCTGAGGAAAGATGGAGGACTTGACACAGTAGAGGAAAATGAGGCCACCTACGTCCTGGATCCAGATGTCCCCACCCGCCGGGAAAACCGGACCTGATAGTGATAGACTTCAACCCTTAAAAAACAAAACTGAGGAAAAACAATTGCTATTCCGCATCTCGAGTTTCCTGCCTTGCCTCGTCTTTCCACTCTAAGACGGACCTGCTCCCCAGGGCCGGCGCGACTTCTCTGACCTCAGCTCTCTCTGGGGTCAGGGAACCTCGCCGCCCGGGAGCACAGAAATAAACCTGCTTTGGGTTTTACTGGCCTCGCTCTCTCTCCGTCCCCCCCACCCCACCCCCTCTACTGCGCCGAACCTTTCAGACTGGTATTTGGAGAATCTTCTGCTTGCTGTCCTAACGATACACGCCCTCGCTTCAATAGGAAGCACTTGTCCTGCTCGTGTACTTAAAAAGACCCAGTCAGGGGAGGACGCCTGCAAGGCCAACACGCGCGCACCAGCCGCCCACGGTCATGGATGATTGCTTCGCCTAGTGGCCAAGGGCAGGGCGGGCTTCAGCGGGCAACCGGCAGTGATAGGCTGCTGGAGACCCACCCCTTCACCGATTGGGCGAGGGCGACGGAGAGGGGACGGCAAAGCCCGGGATTGGTGGAATCGCGAGGTTGGTTATAATCAGTGGCTCTCGGTTCGCAGTACCGAGATGGCGACCGCGACTTGGCTACTGGGGCGGCGCGCGGCGAGTTGGAGGCTGCGGCCCCCGCTGCGGCCCCTCGCCGGCCTGGTTTCCCAGCGGGCCCACTCGCTGTTACCGGTGGACGATGCAATCAACGGCCTAAGCGGGGAGCAGAAGCAGGTAAGGGGGCTGGCCCCCTTCCCTGACCCATCGCGCCCCGCTCGGTGGTCGCCTCCGCGCTCTTGTGCCCAGAGCCCATCCCGCTACGCGCCGTGTTGGGGAGACAGTGGGGGCGCCCGCGCGGGGGTGGGCACGGGCCTCAGCCTCCCTTCGGTAGGCCTGGCTGCCGGAATTAGGAAAAGTCAAGGACGGGGAAGCTTCTGCGGGGCTGGCGGTGTTTTGGTAAAGTGTTGACAGATGCTGCGGAGTGAAAGGGCCTCCGTTTGTCTAAGTTGGATTACACCTGAAGGCGATCTAAGGCGGTCAGGAAGCCGGTCTACCAACAGCACCCCGGGGCCCCTTTTTAAGTACTCCCCGCGGGGGTTTTGAAGTATACAATGTAAACTTCTGTCATTCTTCAGCCGGTTGGGGCAAAGCACAAAGCTGAACAAATACTTCCGCGATGTTTAACAAACAGCTGACCCGAATCCCTTCGGGTAGAAAGGAGACCGTGTTCGCACCGACACTGACTTGGAGTGCCACTGAAACCCGATTCTCCTCTGTCTCTAAGCAAGCACCAGAGCCCCTGCCAAATCCCAGGTTTCTTTGTGCTTACAGTTGGCAGAGTTCGGGGTCGTCCCCCCACCCCACCCCCAATCACCACAGGTAGAAAATGTCTAAAGAAGATTTAGCCACTGCCAAGGAAAGTGTCTAAATCTTAGAAGTCCTTTTTAGTTTTAGGTATAGGGGCAGGAAAGAGCTAGAGACTGGCAGGAACAGAAGGGGGTGTGGCTGGAGCACCGGGAGGGGGAGAGGAGGAAGGTTCTGGGGAAGTGGGGGAGGATTGTCAGGGATCAGCTCACGCTGGGTCTTTAGGCTTCCTTAAAGAATTTGTCTTCTAAGTAATGGGAAGCCATGGCATGACTTAAAGCATAAACTAGTGGAGCCCCTGAGGTCTGGTTCCTGGCTGCCTGGTCAGGTTACCTGCGGACTGTGACCTCTGTAGTAGAATAGACCTGTCCTCTGTGGTCGTCCTGTGCTGTTTGAGCAGCATCTGTCCATCTTGCCCCTTTAGCTTCGTCACACAATGGCTAAGTTCCTTCAGGAGCACCTCGCCCCCTATGCCCAGGAGATTGATCACAGCAACGAGTTTAAGAACTTGCGGGTGAGTCCTGAGATCTGTGAAGGGGGAAATAAGGGCAGAAAAGGTCTGTCTGGGAACAAGGCTGGAATGGCTTGGGGATGGCACTGCTCCCTGGAGGGCACATACAGTCTTCTGGTAAATGAAACTTCCCAAAGAACCCCTTTCCATGACATGTCAGGGGTTGGGTCTTCTAGAGGTGTCAGGCAACTGACTGCTTTCTTCTCATAACGTATTGCACTCCCTCCATTCTATTGGCAGGAGTTTTGGAAGCAGCTGGGGACTCTGGGAGTCTTGGGCATCACAGCCCCTGGTGAGTTTCTTTCCCTAAAGAGAGTTCTGATATGCCTTTTCAGACCATTGCCCCAAAAAGCAGAAAAAGAAGAGAGAAGTCATGATCAAAGAAGCCTAGAACTTCTTCCTTTCCTCTTAGACCCCAGTAAGCACGGGCTGACTGTCAGCCCACAGGAGTGCCCTGCAACATTTTTTTTAGCTAATGATGTCGAAAAGACAAAGGGGTGAGGTCAGCATGGTTCACTCGGATCAGACTCATGCAGATGTATGAACACGGTTTCCTTAGTAAGATTTCCCAGGTGACTTGGGGTGTTTAAAAACTATCCAGATTAGGCAGCTGTCTTAGCACCTCAGCTTTATTACCTCAGCTAATTTCTCAGCTCCATCCTACCAACAATGTGTAGGCAGGACCATTCAGGACAACTGTGTCCCTGTGGCAACTGCCTGTGCCCTCTGCCCAAGCTGGGTCCTGGGGTTGAGCAGCAGACAGCCAAGTGAGGGAGAGGATGGCGCTTGGAGCATCCATGTGAGATGGCCAGGTGGTAGGTTTCATAGTCTCCCTGGGCCTGTCCAGTGTCTGTTGTGAGTCTGACTACCTGTTTTCGGGGGGAGAGGGCAGGAGGCCGTAGGCTCTAGTTGGCTTCTGAAGGGGAAGCCCAGCCTGGCTTGTAGTGCCCAATAAAGAGAGGCACCTGTGGCCTCATCAGCGAAGGCAGAAACAACCACCTGCTGAAGCCTACACTCCCTGGGCATAGAAGACAGGTGCAGCGGCATGTAACTTCTCTTTACGTCCTCTCCTCACCACTTGGAGATAATAATTCCTGTTATTGAAGCTGATCACAGAAAGTTGCACCACGAGTAATGATAAAACGAGACCATTTAACAATTAATTTAGATCATTTTTTAAAATAAATAATATAATAGTTTGTTTTTACATCATTTTGTGCCTTTTTCCATCTCAGTTGTAATCCCCGTGGGCTTCCCATCACCAGATCACCTATGTGCCATCACCATAGTCCAGTGCACTTCCCTCCATCACCATAGTCCAGTGCACTTCCCTCCCCCCACTGTTTTTGATTCCATTACCCACTCCACCCCCATAAAATGTCTCTGGTATATAGTTGTTCATTATTATTATTATTTTCTCACTTGGTCCGTTATACTCCTGCTATGAGTGAAACCACCAGGTATTTTTCCTTTTCTTTCTGGCTTATTTCACTAAGCATGACTTTTAGACTTTTTTTTTTTTTAAAGATTTGTTTATTTGTGCATAGAGAACTGGGGTACAGGCCAGAGGTGCAGGAGTGGTGAGAGGATTCGCAGAGACACAGGGGGGACAGAACAGGCAGATCATCAAAGTACACTGCTGAGGGGAGCAGCGGGCGGGTCAGGAGAGGTCTGCCACACCTGTGGGTCATCTCTGGGGCAGGCAGGGATCGAACTCATGCTGAAGTGGCTTTAGCTTCTTAGTGCTGTGCTTTAACCCACTGCGCCACTAGGGAGGGCCCAATCATTTTTTTAAAAGGTTTATTTATGCATACAGAACTGGGGTACAAGCCAGAGGTTCAGGAGTGGTGAGAGGATTCACCAGTGACAGAGTGGGGAGCCGAACAGGCAGATCAATGAAGTACACTGCTGAGGGGAGCAGTGGGTGGGGCAGGAGAGGTCTGCTGTGCCATGTGGGTCACCTCTGGTGCTGGGGCCGGGGACCAAACTTTGCTGAGAAGAACTTGAACAGGTTAGACTAGCTTGCAGTGCTGCATCCTAACCTGTTGCACCACCACGGAGGGCCCAATTTACATCATTTTAATATAAAGTGGTTGGAGGGAAAAGCTACTGGGAAACCCCAGCCAAGACTCTTCCACTGTGACCTAGGGATTTATGAGCCCTCATAGATAACATACTTCTGAATCAAATAGAAATCAAATAAAGACACTTTTTTATTGAGTTCTGGCTCCCTGGGAGTTGTTCCTAGTGTTACTCACCTGTGGGCTTTCCTTCTTGGGAGTTGTAGGGCCTGCCAACCTTTGCCTCAAGCCTGGGACAAGACTGACTTGAGAGTAAATGTGTGCCAGAGAGTGTTGCAAGAGTTTACTCAAATAGTAGAGGGAGGAGGGGTTCCAGATGCCCCAGACACTTTGATTTTGATTTTGAAGCTGCTACCAAGGAAAAATCATGTTTTTCATGAGTTCCGAAATTGCCTATCAGCATCTCTCCTGCCATCAGCTGCAATTCTTTTTCATTTCTCTTAGGCTATGGCTCTCCTGCCCCTTTAACAGCTCTGCTTCTTTAGGTCCAAACCGAAACTACAAAAAATCTCTCCTCCTGCAGGCCTTTTGCACCTCCTTAGTGCATGTTCCTTATTAAAATCCAAGTCTTCTTTCTTCGTTTATTCATCTGCCTCTACAGCTCTGTAGCTTCTTGCAGAGGTGCTCAGATTCTCTTGCCTTCATTTGGAGTTCTGTCTGGGCTAAAGCAGGAGTTGCAGTGACTGTGCAAGTGACTACCCTTAACTGACCAGAGACAGGCAAAACCAGCTCCTTGTCCTAGTAAGTAGAGTTCATGACATCAGCCTGTTAGCTCCCTTTGCTGAGAAGAACTTGAACAGGTGCAACACGAACAAGAACAGGGGTTCCTTTGCTGCCAATTAATATAAGACTCCTGTCAGTGTCCTGATTTACTGGGCCTTTTCTACCTCCTGGCATCCCCACTCCCAGTTCAGTATGGAGGCTCCGGCCTGGGCTACCTGGAACATGTGCTGGTGATGGAGGAGATATCCCGAGCTTCTGCATCAGTGGGACTCAGTTATGGTGCCCACTCGAACCTCTGCATCAACCAACTTGTGCGCAATGGAAATGAGGCCCAGAAGGAGAAATACCTCCCCAAGGTGAGGAAATGGGTGGAGAAGCACATGTTGGTAACATGGCATGACCACTGCCCTTCCCCTTAGGTTAGTGCTGATCCACTTTGTTTTCTGTGGCATGCTATACTGAATGAGTTATGGTTAGGAAGGTTTTAAGGATTTGCTTAAAATACTTCAGTCAAGAGAATTAAAAATAGGTTCAGAACTCTCCAGTTGATCACTGGAAAACGTTTGCAAAGCAATTTCAGAAATGAAAGAATAGGATTAGCTTCCCTTGCAAAGAGGGTGGGAAAAGAAGAGATACCTTCAGCCTCGTAGATATTGGGGTTCTTTTCTAGGACTTTCATGAATACCTTGACCTGAGAGAAATTTAAAGGGGTGTCACGTGAACAGGCATGAAATAGTATCACTGAACTCAGGCTGGGAACTTCTAAAGTCACAACCAGCCCTTTGGGGTTTTTCTTGCAGCTCATCAGCGGGGAATACATCGGAGCCCTGGCCATGAGCGAGCCCAATGCTGGCTCTGATGTCGTCTCTATGAAGCTGAAAGCAGAGAAGAAAGGTACACTTCTCTTGACGTGGGGCTGCAGTGAGGGAGAGGACAGACCTGAGGGAGAGGGAGCTGTAATTGGTGGTAACCTCTGCTGGGCTCTCAGAACTGTTGCCCAGCTGGGCAGCTTCTTGCTCGGCAGAAGTTTGTTGACTCGCTGACTGAGACGGGCCAAGACTGCTTGAGCAAGTAGCCAATTTGTGTTCTTAGGAGATCACTATGTCCTGAATGGCAACAAATTCTGGATCACCAATGGCCCTGATGCTGATGTCCTTATTGTCTATGCCAAGACAGATCTGGCTGCGGTGCCAGCTTCTCGGGGCATCACAGCCTTCATTGTGGAGAAGGTGAGCACGGGGAGGGGTGAAGGGGAATTCATAAAGATGGGCTTTTGTCTCCTGAAAGTGGTGCCAGAGATGACTTCCTCCAGCTGATCACAAACACCAGTAATTTTGTGTGTTCTGCCAAGGTTTCCTGGGGCAGGACTGAGGCAGACCAGCAGATTGAAAAGAGGGTAGCCAGAAAGAAGAGTCCAGGAAAGATGGGTCAAGTCTGAGGACAGTGGAGCTGTCCATAGAACCAGCCATACAGAGAACCAGGAAGATGAGAAGTGAAGGGAGACCGGTGGATTTGACAATCAGGGTGTCAATGGATGCTGAGGGCAGCTGTGGGAGACAGATAATGAATTCCTGTGCAAGCAGGTTTCCAAGTAAAGACTGAAGACCTCACTATCCAAATCTTGGTCAAAGCTAGAGGGAGCTACAGCAGGAGTTAGAATAAAAAGTTAGAGGTCTGGGTTTGTTTTTAAGAATGGCAGAGAACTGAGCACATTTGGTAAAGAGGAAGGAAGATAGGAGAGGGAGAAACAAAATGTGTGGGACTTGAAGGAGCAAAACACATTAGTGAGTTGAGGGAGAAGAGGTAAGGGTGCAGAACAGGTGACCTTTGAGGGTGTGTGTGGAGGTGGGGTCTGGGGGAGCATGGTGTGTGAATTGGTGGGGAATTTCATGAATCAGTGTTGACAATGATTTGCAAAACCTTCCTTAGAGGGAGGGCTGAGACTGGAGGAAGAGAAAGTTGAAAGCCACAGGGCCTGGCTGAGTTGGGGAAGGTGCTGGAGGAAGAGGAGCAGCACCTGCCAGCACTCTGGGCAGGGGCATGTGCCAACACCAGTGGCAACTGATTTAGCCTGTGGTGAAGCACACAGGGATCAATTTGATGGGTGAGCTCAGCAAAAGAACTGAGTTGGCTGAAGGGAGTATCTTGAATGGAATTTCCCCTGAGAAAAGAAAACACAGCCAGAAAGGATCAAGGTTGGCCACCGGGGCTTGGGTGTTTCCTTGGGAGAGAACTGGGGAGAATACAAGTAGCGGAGCAGGGGACTGGGGTCCAGGTGGCGCTGGAGCACCCAGGAGTGTCACAGTTGCATGCAGAATGGGGGCCCGGGAGCGGGATGCCAGGGCACCACGCAAGCATAGGGATTTGATGGGAAGGTGGGCACTTTTCAGATGTCTTCCGTTTACTAGACCCCCTTGGAGGCTGGTCTGTAGTTGAGATCACCTTTTGTTCCTCTAAAGGGTATGCCTGGCTTCAGCACTGCCAAGAAGCTGGATAAGCTGGGGATGAGGGGCTCTAATACCTGTGAGCTGATCTTTGAAGACTGCAAGGTCCCTGGTGAGTCTCTGAGAATGAGGGAGCCCCTGTGCCAGCCCCTTCACAAGCTGAGAATGCCCGTCCCTGTTAAGACACACTCACCACTGACAGCAGTGACTCGGGCTGGACGAGGGGTCCTGATGTGTGGACTCTGGGGCTGATGGCTGTCCCTCCGGCCAGAGCCCCTGCAGCCTTATCCCTGACTGTGCACAAAGTGTGGTATTCCTGTATCTCAGTAGAAAGACAAGATCTGCCCTCTCCTACTAATGTCTGTCAGCCTCCTCCATTTGTATGTTTGCCTGTATAGCCTATCTGAGGTTTTATTAAAGACACAAAACTATGATCGGAATAAACTGATGGAAGCCAGACTTAGTGAAGGGAAGACCCTTCCACTTTGAGTATTAGTATTTCCTCTCCTGAAACACAATTGAAACATGTGACACATGTGCTGAGAGACTTGATCCCAGTTAGGTTTGCTTTGCTCCTTACCCCCCACCAGCTCCCATCTGAGAAAAATATGCTTTGGTTACAAGGAGCATCTAGAGAGAGGGCATTGGTGTAGGTCCTTCTGTCGGCATAAGGGCAAGTCAGTTGTGTTAACTGTCTTCCATTTCTTGGCCATGCTTCCCGAGACCACACACAGCGTGTCTTGGCTTCATGCTGGGGTGGGGGAACGAGAGGGAGAGTGAGGGCACAGCAGTTTCTGTCACTGGCATTGAATGGGTTACTCTCAATGCTATATCCACTATGGCCTGAGTCCAGTCCCCGGTCATGGAGCTGACTCACATGATGCAGCAGACCTCTCCTGTCTCCCCCGCTGCTCCCCTCAGTGGTATATTGCAACAGACCCTCTTGTTCTGCTCCCCACTCTCATGAATCCTCTCGCCCTCCACACCTCTGGCCTACACCCCAGTTCTTCTATGCCAAAAAATAAATAAAATCCTTAAAACAAACACACACAAAGAACTGAAGAGCCCACCTCTGTCCAGGACAGAGACTCTTCCACTGACACCCTGGGGACAGGGGTGAATGGGACCAGAGCAGACTCAACCTTGAGAAAGAGCAATCCTCTGTTTCCTTTATGGCTACAGGTATACAAAGGACTAGGGAAGGCTTGAGTGACTTCTAAACCAAACTAGCTTTTCTTCCTCCCCATCCAAGGTAACCTCAGAAGAGATGGGGAAGGTCTGGGCTCTGGTATATGGACTTGTGCGTGGTGATATGTTGGGGGTAGAGTGTGAATCCTCTAGGTAATGCCACTTCTAGATGGAAGTTGCAAACTCCTCCTTTCCTCACCAGAATCCTAGTCATAGGTCAGGTGACATAGTCGACATAGTTCAGTGACATGAGAGAGTTGCCGTGCCAAAATTATAGCCCTCATAAAAGTCCTCTTGCCCTGGTCCTCCCTGGTGGTGCAGCGGGTTAAAGCACAGCACTAGAATGAAATCACTTCCGCATGTGTTCGATCTCTGCCTGCCCCGGAGGTGACCACATGGCGCGGCAGACCTCTCCTGACCCGCCCGCTGCTCCCCTCAGCAGTGTACTTTGTCAATCTGCCTGCTCTGCTCCCCACTCTGTCTCTGGTGAATCCTCTCACCACCCCTGCACCTCTGGTCTGTACCCCAGTTCTGTATGCACAAATAAATAAATCTTTAAAAAAAAATTTTTTTTAAAGTCCCCTTGCCCTGACCAGCACTTCTCCCCACAGCCACCAACATCCTAGGCCATTTGAGTAAGGGCGTCTACGTTCTGATGAGTGGGCTTGACTTGGAGCGGCTGGTGCTGGCTGGTGGACCCCTTGGGTGAGTATAGACATAGGGGGACACTGAGTTATTTGGGCCTTGTTGGCAGGTGGTGCCACTGTGGCTTCACCTTGGGGGCTGATGGGGCTATCTCCTGGCCACCGCCACTCTCTCATGGACACAAAAAGAACTATGGACTTTCTTCACACTGAGGCAAACATAATCAGGCGACAGCAGGCCTTGGTGCCATCCTCTTTAGCTACTCAAGATGTAAATCATGACGATGGGCTCTAACCCTCTGCACAGGGGTCCTGCCGCTCCAGCTGGTCTCAGAGGAGGGGTACAGTGCTGGGCAGTCAGAGCAGTGGCTGCGCAGGGAGACAAGCACTCGCACGTACCCTTTCACCTCCCTGGAACTCCAAGCTGTCTTTGCAAGCCTTTCCACATCGGCACCTCGCCCCACATGGCAGCAGGGTGTCAGTAAGGTGCCTCCCCAGTGTCTTTCTCTTTCTGACAGGATCATGCAGGCCGTTCTGGACCACACCATCCCATATTTGCACGTGAGGGAAGCCTTTGGCCAGAAGATCGGCCACTTCCAAGTGAGTGGAAAGCTTTTATGAGTGCTTTCACTGGGTCAGTTTTTTTAAATAAAAAAGCGGGGCAAGTGCTATGGAGCATTTCCAACCTTTCACCAGCAAAATGCTGGTTCAACTGCAGGCTTCTTCAGATGCCACCCCACTCTGGAAGTTCCTCATACATCACCTGAATTCCTGTTTGAGTTAAATGAATGAGCCTTGTGAGGTTGAAAGGGGGAAGCATGAGACTGGGAGGAGGTTTGGCGGGGTGGTGGTGGGGGGCAAGGAAGTGGTGTTCTAGTCAGACTTTGTGAGCCAGAGGCCACAGGACCTCAGCAAGGGCAGTGGGGGTGGGGGCTGCCTCAGGGCACAGTGTCCAGGCACAGCGGCAGCTCTGTGGCCTTATTCCAGATGCACTCCCACCTCTCTTATCAAAGACAAGTCTGTCTCTTCTGTGTGCCCTGGCGCCTCCATTCCTGGCTATGGCTGATCGTCTTTTGGCAACTAGGAAAAGTTTTGAAAGGAACAGGACCCCAGCGCACTGACTCATGATCTCCATTTGTGCCCAGTTAATGCAGGGGAAGATGGCTGACATGTACACCCGCCTTATGGCCTGTCGGCAGTATGTCTACAACGTCGCCAAGGCCTGTGATGAGGGCCACTGTACCCCCAAGGTAGGGGCTGGCCCCGGAGGAGGGAGAGCTGGGAGGTAGGCCAGATGCCAGGTCTCAATCTCTGCCTGGCCCTGGTGGGGTCCTGTTGACCCAGAGCCTCCCCCCACAGGACTGTGCGGGTGTGATTCTTTACTCAGCCGAGTGTGCCACACAGGTAGCCCTGGACGGCATTCAGTGTTTAGGTGAGTGGCCCCACCCCCCACTCCCGGGGCTGCCCTCCTCCCAAAACTTGCGACTGCCTCCAGAAGTTTCCTCCTTACTCCTCACTCTGTGCTTCAGCTAGCTACAGCCAAGTTAGCGCCTTTCTGACACATGTCCTGCAAGGACATGGAAAACCAAACAAAAGTGCTGGAGGCCACAAGTTGGCACCACCTTCAGCACCACCTTCACCAGGTCTTGTGAACCTTGGGAAATGGAGAAAGAGAGGTCTCAGCTGGCCTGGGTCTGTGCCTTGTGCAAATTGCTTAATCTCTCTGGACACAGCACCCAGTACCTGCTATTGCAGTATCACCTCCTCCCCCTTCTTTGTGTCTACTAGGGGTTCTTCCCACTCTTTGCCTGGTATCCTCAACATTCTGGGTGACCTACTAATCCCTTGCTCCCACTAGGTATCCCCCACACCTTCCTGCTCACCACCGTTGCTGTTGGGCTTCAGTTGATCTCTTCTACAGCCTTTGCTTTTCTCATTTACCTGCCATCCCTAACTCTTCCTGTTGTCTTTCTGCTCTGCCCAAACCCTGGCTGCAGGTGGCAATGGCTATATCAATGACTTTCCCATGGGCCGCTTCCTGCGAGATGCCAAACTGTATGAGATTGGGGCCGGGACCAGTGAGGTGAGGCGGCTAGTCATCGGCAGAGCCTTCAACGCCGACTTCCACTAACACCAAGACGATCCCCCTGCCCCTTTGCCCAGCATCTGGAGGCCCTTCTTTGGAAGGAGAAAGGTGGCAGCTCTCCTCCCCTGCCTGAGGCAGGTCCCGCTCTTCAGCTGTCCTCAGTTCTACCCTCTGGCCTCTGATAACATCGCGTTCTAAACGCTGCCAACCTCCACAGGCCTTGACATTGGGCTTGCCTGCCCAGGAAAAGTGCCCAAGGCTTAGAACAACTCAGCAGGAAGCATATTGGCTTTTCTGGGTTTCACTGGGAGGGCTTTTGGTGACTCTTGACTTCCAAGCCTGTGGCCCCCACCTCCTGGGGTGAGTACCTGGGGCTGACCTTTCTTTTGGGTGACCCTCTGCGAGGGAGCCCTCTGTTCAAGTATACCACAAGTATTTCCCCTCTCCATTTCTTTTCAATTAGCAGCCTCTTTTCTTTCTGGGGGAAAATAACCCAAAACCTAGTCTTCGTTTCTGCCAATTTTCAGAAGCCTCAGTTCCCAGCCACTTGTGAGCAGGCACTCACTGTCTAACAGCCCTTCTACCCATCCAGAGTTTCATCTTTGAGACCTGGACACCCGCCAGGTTAGGGTGGAGCTCTGAAGAAAGGCATCTCAGAACATCTGCACCACCCAGTGTCTCCAGTGGGACAGAGGTCAGCCGCCTGTGAAGGACTGGCCAGCTACTGGCCTTCACAGCAGCGCTTCTGAGCCCTTCAGTCCTGCTCCACTACCCCATCCCTCCAGTGCTGGTCATGTGACCACACACAGCTGACTGGGCAGTAGGCCTGGGTTGTTGGCTTGACTCCAGCCAAGCTGCCTGTGTCCATTTCTCTGGACGCCCTATGGCTAATTTTGTTAGAACTGCACAGCGGCTGCTGCCATTTTGTATTAAACATATTATGAAGAAAACCCATCTGCTTCTGAACTGGTGTATTGGGGAGAAGTAATCTACTTACTACTGCCTCCTGCCTGTGTCCTTAGAAAGTGGCTAGTAATGGAGACAAGGAGTGGAAACAGTCCCCAGGACAGGCATTCTCAGTGCCCCCTTCCCATGTCTCCCAGGGACTTTTTTTTATGCATATAGTAGTTGGCGTGTGGGCCAAAGGTACAGAGGGGAAGAGGTGAGAGGATTCACCAGAGACAGAGCAGGAGCAGAACAGGCAGATGGACTGAAGTACACTGCTGAGGGGAGCAGTGGCTGAGACTATTGAGGTCTGTTGGGGATCAAACTTGCAGCAGTGGCTGCTGATAAGCTTCATGGTGCTGAGATTTAACCCCTTGCACCACCAGGTACCAGAGAGGCCCTGCTCTCAGGGACTTTTACTTATTTTTGAAATTTTTAAAAAAGATTTATTTATTTATTTATTTATGCATACAAGAACCAGGGTACAAGCCAGACGTACGGGAGGTGAGAGGATTCACCAGAGACAGAGTGGGGAGCAGAACAGGCAGATTGACTGAAATACACTGCTGAGGGGAGCAGCGGGTGAGACGAGAGATCTGCTGCGCCATGTGGGTCAGCTCCCTGGCTGGGGATGGAAATTAAGCTGCAATGGCTGCGCATAGCTTCATGGTCCTGTGCTTTAACCCCTGGTGCCACCAGGGAGAGCCCTCCCAGGGACTTTTTTTTTTTAAGATTTATTTATTTGTACAGGCCAGAGGCTCAGGGGCGGGGAGAGGCTTCACCAGAAACAGAGCCGGGAGCAGAACAGGCAGATTGACAAAGTACACTGCTGAGGGGAGCAGCGGGCGGGTCAGGAGAGGTTTGCTGGGCCATGTGGTCACCTCCGGGGCAGGCAGGAATCGAACTCGTGCGGAAATGCCTTTAACTTCTCAGTGCTGTGCTTTAACCCACTGCACCACCACCTCCCAGGGACTTTTAAGCAAGAAAGGAGCCCTTGGTGGCAAGATTCTTGGAGCTAGAAGGAAGCTCACAATTTGTAGAGGCTGTCCTCATGATTTTTTTTTAAAAGATAATTTGATTTTTTTCAAGATCAGAACTAAACCTAGCATCCAAATCAGAAATGGGGTTCTGAGATTGCCAGCCTGGAACTCTACTTCTTGGCCACACTGATGGAGCATTGTCAGAGTGGAATAGGTACAGATTGTTCTCCCTAAGTTACCAAAGAAGGCTGGTTTTCTTGGTCATCAGTCCAGCAGGCTTTGGGTCCTGGCCTGTAGCTAAGTACTATTCCCAGCCTGAGGCCTATGACAGGTAGAGTTAGCTCCTTATCAGTCGCCGCCCAGGTCCATTCTGAGGGGAGGACCCAGTGCCTATGTCCCTTTATCCACCCAGCTGCCCTTCACTACTATGTTGGAGATGAATGTGGCTAAAATGATAGTCTTGGGTTTTAACATGTCACTGGAATGACCAGCCTGGAGATTCTCTGAATGTACCAAATTTTTTGTCAAATCAGTATTGGTTATAGAGCCTTCCCACCAACTCAGGGAGAATGTGATTGTTCTCTTATAAGTGAAATAAAAATGTTTTAAAATAAAGCTTAAAAAAGGGGAGGGTTCCATGTTTATTGCTGCTTTGTTTACAATTGGAAAGACATGGAAACAGCCCAAATGCCCAAAAGTGGATGACTGGATTAAAAAGATGTGGTACATATACACAATGGAATATTACTGAGCAACCAAAAAAAAATATGCCTTTTGCAGCAACATGGATGGAGCTGGAAAAGATCAAGCTTAGTGAAATAAGTCAGAAAGAAAAGGAAAAAATACCAGATGGTTTCTCTCATAGCAGGAATATAATGGACCAGGCAAGAAAATAATAATGATGAACAGCTATAGACCAGAGACATTTTATGGGGGTGGAGTGGGGAATGGGATCAGAAACGGTGGGGGGAGGGAAATGCACTGGACTATGGTGATGGCACAAGGGTGATTTGGTGATGGGAAGCCCAAGGGGATTACAACTGAGATGGGAAAATGCACAAAATGATGTAAAGTAAACTATTATATTATTTTTTAAAGGAATAATAAATTAATTGAGATTGGCTGACTAAAAAAAGGGGGAGTGTAGCCTGAGTTGTGAATGGATGAGCAGGAGGGCACTTTTACAAGCGTTGGTGTGGGAGTTTCCTATTGTGCTGTGTAACTACGCCATCAGCACTACAGCCTGGCTCTGCCTCTTGAGTCCACTCCAATCTTAGGTGGGCACCTTATCAGCCCCAGTCTTGGCAACTATTCCACGCTTTGTTTTCAGTTGCCATCTCCCAGGATAAGCAATAAGAAGTTAAGGGAATGGTTCAAGTATGGTTTGGACACATC